GATGTGCGGTTCACGAGATTAGTGATCAACATTCGATGTGGTTACTGTTAAATAGGAACAAGGAACATGGAAGTCAAATCTGAGCGGCGGTTTTGGGGAGTGGTACATTGAGAGAAACATACTGTATCCCAATAGTAACTTCCTTGAAAAGTCTGGGTCCGACCCGGTACCTACTCACAGTTCTCTTCGTAGATCAACATTCATTTTGTTTGAGATCTTGAGGAACTATCCGATGGTGAGGAGCTGACGACGGCGGTATATTGACCTGAAAAAGGTAGCCTTCCTTGACTAGCGCTTCTGGGACTTGAAGAAGAGGTGTGTCGAGGGCGCGTTGGAGGTTCTCTGCGATGTGATAGCAATGAAGAGCGAACGACCATGTTCATGTCAGGGGAGGCTCGCCGAGATCAGCTATCTCACCGGCCGCAGGCCGTGTGATGTCATCACCATCAAGCAGAAATTTGGCTGAGTACAAGACTACGACGACACTGTCACAGCCGAGCCAATGTGAACTACTTGCGTAGCCCTGCTTTCTCCGACTCGACGAACCATTTTTATAGTACAGAAAAGATCAAGTCTTCGAACGATTTCTTGGTCAACACGACGCTACTCGGTGAGTGATTCTATCACCGATTGCCGCTTACAAAAAGCGTCAAGGTATACGATAAAGACAAGTGTTGTCGGAGATACATGGGCATAAGCCATGGGGCAGCAACTCCCATCAAGCAACGATGAAAATCCGTTCAAGGTCCCAACTTGCAATTTTGGACTGCGCCTCCCCGAGTCGCTCAACATCCGTTGTCATCTGATGAGAACGTGTAGTTCGACGCGGTGGATAAGGTTGATAAGTAAGGAGTAAGATAAAAATTTGCGAGGCCTGACGTACGTTAGTTCCCTTTCAGTGAGTACTAGCTATTGGATCCTCCAGAATCGATTGATCGATCCAAGGTCCAGGAAGCTGATGAGCGGCTTCAACTCTCAATGATGCGCGAGATCTACTCACGGGCTCAATATGGCACGTTACTACAGTCAGCGCCGTACTTTTGCAGAAAGGTTTGGTACATTCACGATTGGATTCTATCAACAATATACAAAGGTATCGTTGCACGGAAAGCTATGTTCCATAGTTGAGCATTGTGGTATACTAGTATCGATACCCTTCAAGGTCTTGTCGAAACCTCAGTTACTGGTCCGTCACCTTTTTTCCTCCTTCTCTGTCCGACTTCAGCCCTGACAATGTCCAATAACCAACTAGCATATGCAATCAATGCAAATAAAACTACGCCGGCGGCAGTAGTGCCTATCTTTGCTAGGAGATCAGCGACCCCATCTTGGTCAAAGGTCCAAGCAAAGATAGTGATAGAGATGTACAGTGACAGCATTGACCCCATCGCAAACAAATTTGGGATGGATAATAGGAGTACCATGTGCAAGGTGTGATCCGCTAGAACCTATTGCTCACGTCTCGAATGAGGACTCATCCAAGATTAAGAGTGATAGTCACGCACCTTGAACTCTGAGGCTGTTACGTCCGTGAACACAAACGAAAGTCCTGTCCCAAATGCGATAGAAATTATTGCTGCGCACATCGAAGCCAGTGTTGCGACATATGAGGCCCCCGACACCCTGTCCGAAAACAGCATTGTCGTTGTAGCGGAGAGGAGTAATCCGGTAAAAATCCCCAGTGTTTGCCAACGTCTGATCAACCCTTGTATGAAAGCATCCCATGTACTCGAATCATCCGAATTCAAGTACGCTCTTAGTCGTGTTGGGTTTGTTCCGATAAGAACGAGGAGACATAGCGTAATGAAGAAGGAATGAGGCTGTCTGTTCGAGCTAGGGTCGAGCTGCCGTTCGCGGGGTGTAGGTACGTGGATAATTTGGTGGTCAGATTCGTGTTTGGGTAGATATTCGGACTGATTTGTTAGAGTATCGTCTGAGCTAACGCGAGCTGGCCCCGCAGCTCTCGTGCTTTTCATAGTGTTGTCCATGAGATATGGCAAGGGAAGAGGGAAGGAAGGAATGAAAAGCAACCATACCCAGTTCATCAAAATCTTTGAATGGCGGTGTTCAGATTACATTCGCAGTATCCACATTGGATGATCCTGATGATCTGTAGGGCTCATTGCTGTATAGTTGGTAACGATGGATCAAGAACCCTGACGACCGCTGATACTGTGGCTCTGGGATACTGGGCGCCTGGAGATGGGCGCTTAGACCAGCTTATTAGAAGCTCATCACCATTAGTCAAAGAGGTAGCGTACATACCCGATGGATAGGCGTCGTTGTGTCTGTTTTACAACCGAAGAGCACACTGTCGTGGCTCTATTCCGGTCAAAAAAACTGCTACTACATGGAACCATTGACCTGCAGCATTTCTGCGTGTGATCTCACGGTAGGTCTTAACAGTATCTTACCTATTTGGTGCTATCTAGAAAGTCCTTCCTCACCGCTGATGATCGCCTTAACCCAATCTGGCGATATATGCATTGCAGCACATCTCTCGCAGTCCAACTTGACAGCGACAGCTATACATGTTTCCGGTCTGACCTTTTCCAGAGGACTGCATTATGCTCTTTGTTTATTTCTGTCTATACAACACTCTAATTCTCCGAATGTCCATTACCAGCTCATCGGAGACCCATCGCTGTAATATTTGCCTGAAGGCAGATAAGTAGCTTAGTATTTTTACTCGATATAAAATACACGAAGAACTTACATGTCTTATCATCATCCTCGGGGCCTAACAGCACCCAAGGTTCCAACAGCTGTGCTCCTGATCGAGGCGTCTTGCCACCCTCTGCGTAGCCGTTTATTTTTGTGGAAACCACCCCTGGGCAGACACAATTGACCCTGATCTTCTCATCTCTCAATTCATGCGCCAACCCAATAGTATATGAATTGACTGCGGCCTTCGATGCACTGTATGGATTTGCATCGAGGTATTCCCTCGGTGCATCCGGAGAAGCTTGAAAGCTGTTGGATCCAAGCCCAGATGTGACATTGACGATGGCACCGTAGCCAAGTTTAGCTTTGCGAATGAGGGGAATGAATGTATTTGTGCATTCGACGAGGCCGAAGAAGTTTGTGTCAAAGACCTGAACATATTCCTTGGGATCGGTGTTGGAAGGTGTTCGACGTTCGCAGAGGGTGGCTGTAGTTTGGAGAACGAATGAGCATCATGATTGAGGAGAACACGTGAACAAACTAGCCTGCGTTATTGACAAGCACGTCGAGACGGCCTTCAGCTTTCTCAATTAGATCTCTTGCAGCTTTGATGGTTGCACTGTCCGTAAGATCAAGCTGAACAAAAGTCGCTTTTAAACCGAATTCATTTTGCAAACGTTCCCTGTGGGATCATCCAAGTCAAATGTCCGCCATAGCTCGGGCAAAAACAGACATACTCAGCTTCCTTTCCTGCCGTTAGCGTTCGGGAACCTAGATAGACCTTGTGGCCCTTCTCTGCAAGTAGTCGGACTAATTCAAATCCGATTCCACCGTTAGCGCCAGTGACGAGGACGACCTTCTTGTAGGAGTCTGTTGCGGACATAGTTTGTGTGATGAAAGATGCTTGTAGAGTTAAGATAGCGAGTTATTGTCGTCGACCTGCCATCTTATAAGATATCTTCGGGCTTAGTCTGCTTCGTCAGCCCAGCATAGCCTGAATTTGCTTGGATCCTTGGTCAGCTCGTTTAATTGGATAAATATCAAGTAGTAATATCGGATTTGCCCTGGGTACATTGTTACCTGTCACCATTAGATGTCCGGGGTCTCGTCGGTTGAACCGATAACTTCGGACGTCGCAAGAAGGGGCTACTCGGTGAGGATTGTGGCAGGGGATTCAGGAAAAGACTCCTGATAAAGTATAGTGTGAAAGGAGACAATGTTTAATTCGTTTGGCCTTCAGGACTTACAGACTGAAAACGCCAACGTGATACAGAGAATCACTATTCCCGGGAGATAACGGGGGCCGACTCGCGATTTGGACAGCGGAACGGTAGGAATCGGGATGTAGATCGTCAGAGGCACGATGTTCCTAATAACCGATACACCGTAGCACCTTTCCTCCAAAGATCCGATAGCCAATCTCAGGGGAACTCTCCTGCATCCAGAGTCATACCAGAACTTACAAAAAGAGCGGGAACTAGATCTTTGTAGTCGATCAATAAACTAACATGAAAACATAGACGCACTGCGATTATGGGTATCACCAATTTCAAACGCAGGTTTGTAGGCTATTCCTCGCGAATCGCGATGTGGAATCGGAATGGGCCGCAACTGCCGAAGTTCCGGGCCTGGTGTGCAGCGAGCGTTGATTGGCAATTGGCTCGGGGGAAGGATATGCCTGCCTGATGACCAATGCAACGGACAGCATGGGCAGTTAGCAGATGCCCAGGTAATGTCGTGTAAACTCGGATCACAATGGAAGTTGAACCAACGCATATCTACGGCCCGAGCGCTGCGATGAACAGCAGCGTGTTGGCAGCGTGTTCAAGTTTGAACGAGCACGGGACAGAGAAGCCGGGGATTTCGGACATGTGGACGCCCATCATTGAGTGGACGATGAAACACAGTCCGGGTAAGATTCACCTTCGACCAGGATGGAAGATGAACGATGAACGACAAATAACGCGCAGTCAGAGTTAGGTTTCGTGTAACTTCCGATCCTTGCTTAGTGATTGATGGACGAAAACTAAAAACGCGAAGAGGAACAAACGTGGAATGAATGAGTGAAGTGAGGACTAAGACTCGCCGAGAAACTAGACTGGGCCCGAATCGGTGTACATACTCCCAAGTTCCCAAGTCGAGCATCAAGAATTCGGGAAGTACGTGATGCCCACACGTGCATCCGATCCCGACGCATAGAGTCCAATTGAATATAGACAGCCTTGTACGGGGGAAAGAAGGCAGTGCCATGAATCGAAGGAAAATAGGTGAAGCAAGATCACCCAGCAACAAAAATTGCAAACGATGATAAAATAAGGTGATGTGACGGCTCTGGAAGGTGCTACCAGGATTCGAACCTGGTTTCGGGAAGGTAACTTCCACTGGATTGGAGATCAGAATCCCGAGTGATAACCACTACACTATAGCACCTGAGGGGCAATGACAGGAAAGGATAATATATCTGCCCACGTAAAGTGGATCATGTTAATGGGTGCATAAACGGTAAAGGCGGGAGGAACAGAGCGTGCTGTGAAGATATGAGGAAGCAATCACGTCCTCTCCTCCTTTTTACACCCCTTTCCTTCCTTCCGATTCAAATCCGATGCCAAGCCTTTATCAGATGAATGCCCGTGGGGAGGGAAAAGCGGGTGAAGGTGTTGAAGTGGGGGAATGTGGGCCGTTATAGAGAGGAGGATTGATTTGGCTTTAGTTACGTCTACAGTTGACGGAGGGCTGTATAACAGGAAGGCAGCTAGAGATTGACGATTTGGGTGGGTGTTTGACTTTGGGAATTGCCCTGTCATTTGCGGCTCGCTGATTGTGGAATTCAAGATTTTCACTGGCTTGGCGCTGGAAAGATCTAGCTTGAGCGTCTGGTTCGGGGGCTTCTTAGGACACATTTCGTAATAGCCACGTACCTGAAAGGTTGGAGTATGACCCAATCCTGCCAGTGGTAATGTGAGATGTAGGAGGGAGGAAGCAGGCAAGGATGTGCGGTGAATGGGAGAGGTAGGCGAACTAGAAAGAGAACGTCCATTTCTGCGCTTCTTATTGTGCGCCGCCCTATGATACCGTAGCGTATTAGGAATGGGCCGAAGAAAACACGTCACCACTCACCATGCGATTCAATCCACTACAAAGACCTACGAGCTAACACTGGAGCTGCAAGAATGAAAAGCCATTCGAACTGCGAGATAAAGTCGATCCTGGAGGCGGCTTGAAAATGGATGATCCTAAGTATAGTTACTCGAAGATAGGAATTGTCGGTGGGACCTTGTTGACGAGATACGCGTTTTCGGTTTGAAGGCTAGAAGATAATTGAGAAGATGAACCCAAAGACAACTACAGAAGCTTACCCTAACGCTTGGATAAAGTTGTTGGAGGGAATAGCATCGAAGGGCAAAAGCGACGATGGACGTTGCGGTTCAAATCAAGCGCTTGCGTCATCAATCTGCCTGATCAATCACGTGCCTTCTATCGTTATGCCTGCCTAGCTAGTCGGATAGGTCGAGGCTGGGAGTTCGACCCTCGCGGTGGGGCTTGTTTCAATAAAATCACACTCGTTTTGACCCGACAACTCAGCTAGCGTTCTTGTTAACGAGTTCCACATTCAATCGATCTTACCCGTAGACGCCTCTTGCACTAGTTTCGTTTACTAAAGCTGGAAGAAGAGGCCGATCTTATCGCCATCTCGGTTCAGAGATGGCTCAACTCAACCACAGGCCAGGGTCAATTTTGCGGTCAAACTCAAGAGTGGAAATGGTTAACGTTGAGGTGAGGAAAAACAGAAAGCATTCACCCTGTCCAGAGAAGAAAGGAGCCTAATAAGTACTGCTTACTTTATCGCGGAAAACGTCTAGTTACGGGCTTTCACGCGATTTGCTGTGTAGCGTTATAAGAATCGGCGACCTTGCTTTGACCTACGACGTCATTCTGGCCTATTTCTGTTATTTCCGGACAGTGCCTGGCGAAAACGGGAGATGTTGATCCACAGAGCTGGAGAGCTGAGACGAGCTCATCGATGATAAATTAGTATGAAAGGTAAGTGGTGAGGACATCACACAGTACCTTCGTATTCACGTCCTGTCGTTCCCAAAAGCAAGTTGATCATCAAAACAACGTGATAGCTGACTTATAGCACGTCCGCATCCCAATGGGTATGCGTCAAAACGTCTGACTATGGTTCATACCGCACTATAACGTCACAGTCAACGCCTTACTTTCGTAGAAGGGCACTACTATCCCAGCCACTTGGCCCGGTGATCAAACACTCTTCACGATTGGATTCTATCGAAAAGATACAAAGAAGAGTTACAGTATCATTGCGATGATCGTGATTGTTCATACTCGACATCACGTCCAATAATGACGACGTCACTCAAGTCTGATCTGCGTTGTGGTGTTCTTAGGTTAAGGCCAGCTGCTTGGCTTTGCAATAGATTGGTTGGGCGATCTAATTCCAGCGCCCCGACTGTGGTCATTTCGGTACTTAAGTCATTGAAGGCAATACCCAGACTAACACGAACAATGACAATAGATGCTGTGATACCCTAAAGAAATCATTCAGTATCCCTAAAATAATAGTTCCGCATAAAAGGCTCACAGCACAGAAAGGCCATGCTCGAATCAGGATTAACAGGATTTCTCCATACCACTCACTTGAGGAAAGACCACCCCTCGTAAAGACAGCAAGTGTAATCAAGAATGCAGAATATATGAGTCCAGACTCAAGTCTGTAGTTTCAATGAATAACTGAAGAGTTGAACGTAAATGTGATGCTCACGTTGCGCTAAGGATGATTCTCTGCATGTTCCGTGATTTTGTACCTATGTATTGAGACACCTCACGATTTATTGAAAAGATCTTGAATGCTGGGGGGGTTCGTTAGATAAGTTGACCCCGAAGAGGAAGGGATAATGCTGCACCAATCAATAGAGATAGGAGTAAGTTGTTGATTGCAACGACCACTATCCCCATAGTAGGGATAGTGCCCCAGTAATAAATTGCAGGACCTGTCGAAGAAATGAGGTAGATGAGTCATAGTGGGGTGAATGGCGTACCATGAAAACCAGTTAATAGGATGGGGAGAATGATAACTTTCCATTTCCTTCCCCAAACTATGTAACATCGCGAAATCTGGCGAATATTAGCTAATATTTCGAACGGGGTGAGTCCTGTATTTACCAGGAGAGCGTCCGCTATCCAGCTGAAAATATAATATGATATCCGATGATCAGGACAGGGGATACTCCAGATGGTGGACAGAGGTACTTGCCTAGAGCCAGCTCCCAGATAAAGAACTAGAATATCAACTCGCAGAACACGGCATTCATCAGATGATGATCCTTCCGTGTGGTCGCACCTTTCAGAGATATCTAGTGATGTATCTACGAGAAGATTCATTGTTGCGAGGATAAAGAGGAAAATTTCGGCGAAAAGGTTGTATTTCTGTGATGCTTTATTCCGCTTCCACAGAATATGCATACAAATGCCGAACGTCGGTATATACATGCCTTTAAAGAGTAAGTCATATTCAATAACACAGACTGTATGTTTACTCACCATATAGTATGGACCCTGTCTACAAAAAGAGTCAGAGGCGCAATTTGTCACTCCATGTCTACACGTACCACAGTCGCGATTGTACTGTATATTGCCGATGTCAATGGTTTCATGTTGTTGGGGGAAGGTTGTATACAAGACGAAGAAGATCAGCTGTGGTTATATACACTAGCTTGCCATATGACAGGGCGCTGTAAACGTATTTCCGCGGCGGGCAGCGAAGACCTTGCTGTGACTCGTTGAGCAAATTTGCCATCAGTGATCAGTGGCGCTAGTACGACTGTCTTGGCCATCAAATTCTTGGTTATATGCCAAGAGTACTGTCCCTTATGCAGACCCAGAAAGAAAGGGGCACAGAATGAGAACGGAAGGATGTTGTAGCTGACAAAGGGCGTAGAAAGGGGCAGCCTATCTAATAGGGAATGGGTGTAGATATCGGCAAGATTGCACTCACTAGAAGGACGGTTTTGTTAGCTGGCACGTAAAGTCGAATAGGACGCAATGTCGTAGATGTGTAGTTTAGGGCGGTCGATAGAGTTGGTAGGCTGGCAAGGAAGGAAAGGACTAGAATGCGAAGTTTGAGACACGGCTTCAAGCATAATGCGATTCTCAGGTGTGTAACGCCGTTGTTTGGTCTTTCATCGGATCTCGACATCATCAAGTAAGAGGATTAGGTGTTGAAGTCAAACCATGCCCACGGGTTTTACACACATATCGCTAGCGTTTAATCGGATTAAACCTTGATGACAGCGTGTAAAGGAAGATAAATATGCGAGAAAGCCTTAAGACTGAGAATAAAACTGGGTAAGAAGAATGATATTGTCGCTGGAGATCAAGGTTTCGCAAGTGGACGCAAATTTACTTGTATCCGAGTGCCAATCACAACACTACTTTAACATATAGCACCAGGCGCCAAGTTGATACGTCTCGGCCGAACAACGGGAGAGAACACGGACCAGGAGATAGGAATGGACAGCGGAAGGATTTCATGACCGATATGCCATGGTACCTATCCTCCTAGCGCTGATCTAGGGCATGGGCGTTGTGATGAATGGCGTGCAGATGAAGAAGCTGATCTAGAACGAGCATAGGACCGAGAAGCCAGGGATTTCGGCAATGTAAGCGCCCATAAATATCCGGAAGGACCTGATACAGCATAGCACCTATTCTTACAGCGTGTACATTGACAACTGATGACGCTTGGCTGGATTGACGAATCACTATCCATCTTGATCACCGATAAGTAGCGTTTAATGGAATGAATAACCTTGACGCAAGAAAGAAGCCAGTGGGGATAAAAACAGGTACAAGGAAGATTACCCAGCAACAAAAACACGTTGAGTAATCCAACGATGACAAAAAGCTGGAGTAGAGCAAGAAGAATTAGGTGCTACCAGGATTCGAACCTGGGTTTCGGGAAACAGGCACTCAGTAGAGAAATCAGAATCCCGAGTGATAACCACTACACTATAGGGCCTGGTAAGGAGGGGAGCGTGTAAAGCAAGCCATCGTGAGTACTCGCCTTCACGGCTAGAGATAAGGAAGCGTCGATGGACCACTGAAGCGATAGAAATCGGGGGGTCAATGTCACAATGCACGTTCGGCTGTAAGCGGAAGTTATACGCCCTTGGGCGAGAATGTACGCGGGAGGAAGGAACAGCTTGTGATCGGAGTGATTAACACGCGTAGAAATGACCTAACACACTCTTCGCCTATACACCCCGTTCTTCCCATCCAAGCCCAATCGTGTCGATCAAACGCCAAGAGGTAAGAGAGCGCACGTCGGGGGCGAGGACCTGGATACATAGTGTGATATTTGAATCTGACGGGCACGTAAGGAAATATAAGCACCCACCTGTTGAACGACACTCGCATTGGGTTCGGCGGAGTTAACATGACGTACGTAGACAGGTTTCAGGGGGTCAGTTGACAGAGGGGTGTAGAAGAGGAAGTCGGTGAAATCCTTGGAACTTGCGTTGTCGTTCGCCGGATCGCTGATTGTGACATTCGAGGTTTTGATCGGCTTTGCGGTGGAAGGATCTACATTGAGCAACGCATAAGGCACCGGTGAGGAGCGTATCGCAATATCCACGTACCTTAAAGGTTGGAGTATGACCGAATACTTTCTACTACTTGTTCTCTTCCGGGACCTTAGGGCTGTGTGGGTGGACTTGAAAGCTTGACGAAAGCAACAAGGATGCTGTGATGAGATGCGGAAGGTTTCGGTGAAGCGGTCTTCCGTGCCCTAGCCTAGGTGAGCAACGAGAGACAGAGGAGGGATGGAAAGGTAGCGCCGAGAACGATGATGGTAGGCGATTTTTCTTCATTTGAGCTTCCTATTGTGCGTCACCCTAGAATACCATGGTTAGGGGGATAAGACTGGAGGAAGCACGTCATCACTCACCACGGAATTCAATTCTCCTACTACGACCTACGACCTACGACACGAGGACTGGTTTGTGTATTAACTTGCGTTATTCAACCTGCGAGCTTGAGACGGTCGTAGGCTTGACTTGAGAGGATTTGTTGGGTGCATAGGTAGCGGGTTTGGTTGACGAAGAGGGTGGAGTTGAAGAAGAGTGCGTAGAAGCTTCGTTGGGAGCTTGTTGACGAGAAACAGGTTTTTGGTTCGGGGGCTAGAGGATGATTGAGAAGATGAAAGGAACGACGACGACAGGAACTTACCCTAGGGGTTGGACATAGTCTGTTGGAGGGAAGAGCAAAAGCGACGATGGACGTTGCGGTTCAAAAACCAAAAAAGTAGTGCTTGCCGCTGCGTCATCAACGTCATCAACGTGCCTGATCAACCACGTGTCGGGTTAGGTATAGCATCAAACGTGCAACCCTCGCGGGGATAAAATCACAGTCTGACAACTCAGCTAGCGTTCCTGTTAACCAGTTCCACATTCAATCGATCCTGCCTCGTAGACAGCTCTTGGACCAGTTTCGTTTGCTGGAAAAAGAGGCCGATCTTATAGGTGGTCTTGTTCTGGCCATCCACAGATACGTTATAGCAAGAAAGATTTTGGATAAAGGGGGCTTTCGTTTTCTCATTCATCCTAAGTCGAACATTCAACCTGGTTCAACCCTCGACAACCAACACCACTTCCCGACGGCCTCCTCAACATGAAAATTGCCGGTTGCTCCATGCTCGTGCTCTCGGTCTCGGCGCTATCGAGTGAGGTTCACCATCGGTTATCGTTCAGAGAGTCGGCGCTCATGATTTTCGATGGCTTCATTGATATCCTTATCACGATTACTGTCGGAAAAGAGTCGTGCGTTATCACAGTCGGCGCCGTACTTTTGTAGAAAGGTTTGGTTATTAGTTACTCTTCACAATTAGATTATATCCAACAGCCTGAGATACAATGGTATCAGTGTTATGAGTGTGACTGCCCAGACTCGACGTCACGTCCGATAATAAGAACTTTGTTCGGATCTGGTCCACGTTCTAGCAGATATAGAGCAAGTGAGTAACATTCTGTTAGTTATGTGACTAACGATCCTTCAAACCTTCACGCTCTGGCATCCTGAGCATGTAGTATTCTAACCGCATTAATCTACTGCCCTTGAGATGGATGGCTTAACGCTTTGGTATCAAGATCTCGCTCCGGCAACTAGGAGATCGTATTTTCCGCGTGGCCATTCATCATTGCCTGTCGTCCGAATGTTAGTTATAGTCGTAGTACGTGGGATATTAAGCGCTTGAGCATTGTAAACACGTTTGATTTGGGACACCGTTTAGTTGGAACTGGTGCGCATCCCAATGGGTACGCGTCAAAAATGTCTGACTATGGTTCGTACCGCACTATAACGTCTACAGTTGACGCCTTACTTTCGTAGAAGGGCACTACTATCCCAGCCACTTGGCTCGGGGATCAAACACTCTTCACGATTGGATTATATTGACCAGATACAAAGGAGAGTTACAGTATCATTGCGATGATCGTGACTGTTCATACTCGACATCGCGTCCAATAATGACGACGTCACTCAAGTCTGATTTGCGTCGTGGTGCTCTTAGATTAAGGCCAGCTGCTTGGCTTTGCGGTAGTTCGGTTGCGCAATCCACTTCCAGCGCCCCGACTGTGGTCATTTCGGTCCTCAAGTCGTTGAAGGCAATACCGAGACTAACACGAACAATGACAATAGATGCTGTGATACCCTAAAGAAATCATTCAGTATCCCTAAAATAATAGTTCTACATAAAGACTCACAGCACAGAAAGGCCATGCTCTAATCAGAATTAACAAGATTTCTCCATACCACTCACTTGAGGAAGGACCACCCCTCGTAAAGACAGCAAGTGTAATCGAGAATGCAGAATATATGAGTCCAGACTCAAGTCTGTAGTTTCAATGAATGACTGAAGAGTTGGACGTAAATGTGATGCTCACGTTGCGCTAAGGATAGTTCTCTGCATGTTCCGTGAATTTTTCCCTATGTATTGAGACACCTCCCGATTTATTGAAAAGATCTTGAATGCTGAGGGGGTTCGTTATATAAATTGATCACGAAGAGGAAGGGATAATGCTGCACCAATGAGCAAAGATAGGAGTAAGTTGTTAATGGCAACTACCACTATCCCTATAGTAGGGATAATGCCCTCGACATAAAATGCAAGAGCTGTCGAAGAAATGAGATAGATGAATAATGGTAGAATGAATGGCGTACCGTGAAAACTAATTAACAAGACGGGGAGAATGATAACTTTCCATTTCCTTCCCCATACTATGTAACATCGCGAAATCTGGCGAATGTTAGCTAAGATCTCGAACGTAGTGCGTCCTGTAGTTACCAGGATAGTGTCCGCTATCCAGCTGAAAATAGAATATGATGCTCGATAATCAGGACAAGGAACACTCTAGACAGTGGGCAGAGGTACTTGCCTGGCGACGGGTGCAAGATAAGTAGCTCTAACTTGAAGTGCAAAACCAGTGGCATGGCATTCATCTGATGATCCTTTCATCTGGTAACACGTGTCCTCGATCTTTAGTGATGTGTCTGAGAGAAGATGTATTGTTGCAAGGATGAAGAGGAAAACGTTGGCGAATAGGTTGTATTTCTGTGACGCTTTATTCCGCTTCCACAGAATATGCATACAAATACCGAACGTCGTAATATAAATGCCTTTACAGAGTAAATCCTATTCAATGACACAGGGTGAATGTTTACTCACCATAAAGTATGGACCCTGTCTGCAAAAAGGATGAGATCCGCCAATTTTCATTCCATGTTTATACGTACCACAGTGGGGACTGTACTGTATACTGCCGATGTCCATGGTTTCATGTTGTGGTGGGGGGAGTTTGTATGCAAGAAGAAAAAGAAGATCAGCTGCAGCTATATACACTAGCTTGCCATGGCAGGGCACCGTAACGTGTTTCCGCAGCACAACAGATATGAAGGATCTTTGATTATCATTGTTGGGTGCTGTTTCTGTAGAAACAGGATCCAATCGCTGCAGTGCTTGGTGATTGCATCTGTTGTACTGCGGGTAATCTTGAATCAGAATAGATTATCGCAGCTGATGCATGATGATCGATGTAGTTTGTCGACCAGATATGGGTATACGGGCTCGAATACTCCCCGATGTTTGAGAGGATAAAAAGCCAAAAGCCAACGAAGCTTACGCTAAGCCTTGGGGAACGTCTCTTGGAGGAATAGCAACGAAGGGTAAAGGCGAAGATGGTGTTGCGGTTCAAAATCAACAAACTACCGCTTGCGTCACTCAACCACGTGTAAGCCTATTATTCACGTCAATCAGGATAGAGCGTCAGATCGAAGATGGAACACGCTAGGTCTGATGCCTGCGGGTTCGACCCTCGCGGTGGGCTGCTACAGTGGCTAAGTATGTGGCGGATGTTTTTGATCTGTTACAATGGGATCACGGTCATACTAACACTTATATAGCATTTTTAGGTACATTCAACTCCAATTCGCCACAAGGATGTACGCAACGAGCCTGTGAGTCCAAAACAAGAAAACAACGGTTCGGTTTAACCGACAACACGTAAAAGGGCAGCAAAATATCACCCCGTTGATGGAACTTAGAGGATTTGGGAATTGACTTGACTCCCAGAGGTGAGCAATACATCGTAGCATTCGTGATAAGAGTGATCGATTGTTCTTGCCTAGATGGTTTTCGTGGGTTGAGAGTCAGGTATCTACCTCGTCCAAATGAAAGGAGGCAAGCTGTAACAAAGGCAGATCAATATACGATAAAGGCCCAGGGGGACTACGAGCGGTGGCAGCGACAAATGCATAACCAAGAGAGAAAAAGGTCGAAATGAAATTCAAGGAACGCATGTAAGTAACGTTACTGACATGATGTCAGCAACATGTACGTAACATGTCAGTAACGCCCGTTACTGAAAGTACTAAAAGGGAGTTGCGGTGTAATAATCTGAAAATTGACTGGATAACGCTCAGAGAAGCGTAAAAATATCTCTAAACGTATCTAGAGCCCTCCAATGTACCCCTACTCCCCGCTTGTGGTGAAGAGGTGACGTGACGCTACTTATGTCAGTTAAGCGCTGAACTAGCGCTGACTTTGGGACGAGGATTTAGGTCGCCTCCATGGATAAAAAGTTTTATTGCGCAATAGATTTATCTAAGAAAGTTCTCTATGCTATCAGCGACGGTCTAAGGCCCCAAATAAAATATAATGTAGTCATTAACGACTGACACTACTCACTATGCTCTGCCGGATCGTCAAGATTAGTTGTACAAATCCAATCTCCACCCAAAAGGGTTTGCAATGAAGACGAGGGAAGTACCCGATGGTTAAGATGGTCATTCAATGTTGTAGCTTCACAAGAAACTCTACTCGAGGATTCGAACCTGGGTTTCGGGAATCGTCCAAATACAAGCACAGAATCAGAGTCCCGAGTGAAGACCGCTACACTATAGCACCAGATAAGAGACCCCAAGGCATGTGCTTTATGCCCGCATGAGGAATGGGGGAGATAATACGGACCCGGAGATGGGCGTGACTAATGTATCACTATACCCAAAGGTGGGCATTAAAAGAACGAGAGAGATGCCCCCTCACTCGGTGTGGAGATGGAAATACGAGGTGGAATCCGCATATCGACGAGGGAGGGTGGAAGAGCGGGTGTGACCGATGAGGTACTGAGAAAACAGCTTGAATCTTCCTAGGACCTCTCTACGCCGCGTTCATCCGTTCATAGGACAGGGTCTACTCGTGTTGAAGAAATGATAAGGAAACGGTGGGATGAGGGGTATACAAAGCTTTCGTCGGGTGGTAGTGAGACGTATGGAAGTTGAAAGCGGGTAGGTAACCGGTTGTATTGGAGCAATGATTCGGGAGTATTCAACGCATTACTCATGGTTGGGCAACGGGAGTACACCATTTCCGACTACAACGACCTACGACACACCCAGCGGGGTTTGGGTATGAGACCGTCGCAGCTGACAGGGACAGGGAGGATGTCAGCCTAATGGTTGAAGAAGCGTAGGGTGGTAAACGCAGACAGGCAGGTGTCAAGGAAGATGGAGAAAGGCGGTGAGATTGAAGATTTAGGTAGGTGGTCGCGCTGTTGCTCGCCGGATCGCCGATTCCAATATTCGAGTAGGCTTGGGACGATGCGTAAGACACTGAGAGAAGCATGACCTAACGCCACGTACCTGAAGTCTGGGGGCGACCCAATATCTCCTACTCCACGTTATCTTCCTAGGGCCAAGGGTATTCGTGTCATTCAACTTGGGGTGAGGCTGGGGAGGATCCTTGGGGAAACAGAAAGCTTGTCCTAACCCCAAGAGATGAGGCAGGAAAGGTAGCGTTGAGAACGGGAGAGGGGTGAGCGGCTATTCCTGAGTGTCTTATCGGCACCGTCCTGGAAGTTTATGAGACAAGGCTAGAGGGAGGGCGTAGCAACTCACCGAGGAATCCAATGCTCCCACTATAACGACCTACAATCTATGACGCCATGACTGGGAATGAACTTGCGGGAAGGACCAAGTTGTCCGACTTGCAAGATAGAGACGGTTGTATAGTCGGCTTGAAAGGGTTTGTTGGCCCTATAGCTGGCGGATGTTCGTCGAGGCCACGTTGGGAACTTGTTGATGAGATGCGGGTACTTGAGTCTGAAGACTAGACAGTCATTGAGAAGATGGAAAGCAGAACGACAAAAAAAACTTACGCTAACAGTTGGACTTAGTGCTTTTGGAGTAATAGCAGCGAAGGATAAAGCGACGATGGAAGTTGCGAAAGAAATTAGTGCTTGCGTCATTAACGTGCCCGGACACTCACATGCGCCACCGGAGTATTTTTATATTCGGGCCTAGCTCAATCGGATAGAGCGTCAGACTTTTAGGTTCCGATATATTTCTTGAACTAATCTGAAGGCTGCGAGTTAGACCCTCGCGGTGGGCTACTAATCGGAAAGCAAGCAAGTTTTGCTTGTTAGTGCTGGTGCTAGTTCCACATTCAATCGATCTTCCGGCGATATGTTGCCGCTACTTAATACAGTATTACTCTCAAGATATCTAGCCGGAGAACTGTAATCTTGTTATTTCTTGTCTCGTTTATCTGACTTTTATTGACCTATACATCTATAATATAACTAGATATTCCTCTCGCTTGTCCACCACTCATTTCGTTCCTCAAGCTGTGAACAGCCAGGCCGGGTTGTTCAAGCGGAAAAGTCACCAATCCCAGCTCTGTGTAAGCACATCATGATACACAACTGAGCACACTACTCCTCGCAAAAAGTAAAGGTCCTCAGCCATGCAGGAGGTGCTACCAGGATTCGAACCTGGGTTTCGGGAAACACATCTTCACCAACGAGAGCTTTATCAGAATCCCGAGTGATAACTTCTACACTATAGCACCTCGCAGGGTAGCTGATCCGCCAAGTCCTCTGTTTGGAGTTGTGTAGTGTTTGCTCATGTCAAGCTCTCTGAAATTTAGCACAATCACAAGCAGTCTTAACCTTCCACTGAGCACACCAGAGTGCATCACGGTACAACACCAACCCCTCCCGTTCAAGTTTCATTCACCCGACCTATAACAATAACTCCTCCATGCAATCTTGCACCTGTATCACGCGACGTCAACGTCCCTCGTTCGTTCGCCATCTCTGAAGCCTAGGCTGTCATAATCTTAGTCCCGAATAATTGAACGCAATACCCAGCATAACTGAACGACGGTTGTAATACCCTTGAAGTAGCAATTGATTAGCCAAGGACGGTATCGACACTCACAGCAAGAGAAGGCCATGCACGAATTACCTTCTCCGTGATCCGACGGCTCGCCTTGATTGGCTTGTTCGTGAGAGACGGATTGTGATATGTGATATGTGATATGTGAGTGACAATCAGGATAACACTCCAAGAACGATTCGAGAGGCGTTTTAGGGCAATCACTATGACCTCCATGTGACGATGTATTCAACCAGGAACACGATTGAGAGATGTCGGTAGCCACGACCAGTGACGCAAGAATGAGATTATCAAAGCCAATGAAAAATCCCTTGCTAACCTAGAGAGAGGCCGAGAACGAGTGGATCAGAAGTGGTGGTGTTTTCGATTGTATTCATGAGCACGGCATGTGGTCCCTATGTCAAAGCATCAAGGAAAAAGTCAATTCGAGATGCTACTAGGATTAGAACCTAGGCTTCGGGAACGAATCAACTAAACTATGATCTAGCACCCGAGGTTACTGTAGGCAGTACGGTAGAGGCAGGATGCATTACATTTGGTCACTCTCATCTCCCTTTGAGCATCGTGAGTGATTCACATCATATTGAGCCTCACGTTTGATGAGGATTTGCAATAGCAATCGTTCAACTCTATAATGATAAATAAATTCGATATTTTAGTGCTTTCCAACGCTCAACGGTGTCTAGACTCGACATTAGTACCCATAACGATGACTTTATCCGATCTGGACTCCACACCGGCATTTGCTACGGAATTACAGGTTTGCTGTGGGAAATTCTGACACTTCCACGGACATCATCTCCGTCTTTAAATCGTTGAAAGCAATACATAGGCTGACTCGGACGATGACGATTGAGGATGTGATCCCCTAGATGTCTCGTTCAACAAACAGGGACTACTGGGCTATAGGAACTTACAGAAAGGGAAGGCCATGTTCGGAGTAAGGCCGTATCAAAGCGGATGTTGTCTTCGAATTTACCGCGATTACTAAACTCGTGATTGGGCCCTCCGAGTCCAAACCGAGAGGCTTCGATGTGAAACATGGCCATAGTGATTAAACATGCATAAATGAGCCCGGAGTCAAGTCTTTTGTTTATAAAGCATCATGATATTACGTGCGCTGTCGAGGCTTGGAGTGCGAATCACTTACGTTGCCTTGAAGATGGATATGTCCCAAGTATTGCGTGATTTCACGATTGATCGAGCATTAAGCATTATTGAATACTAAATTTGAACGTGAGTTTTGTCTCATAGCGGGGAATGTATGTCTATGAGGCATGATATCAGCAAATTATTCGCTGCGATGCCCGCAATGCCAATTCAGCAACGAGGGAGTCTGAGACCACCAGTAGCACTAAATTGAGACTTGGGTTGATTGGAGTAATAATATGCAGCTCAAGGTTGCCATGAAATCCGATGTCTAGAATCACTACGACTTTCGATTGTCTTCCCCAGACTGCATAACATCGTCATAACTGGTATCATGGTTATTTATGACTGAGAGGGTCAGGATAGCAACTCACCAGAATGGCGTCTGCCACCAGGCTGCATCAGGAAATACTCGATAAAACTTTGCGATGTGGATACTTAAAAATTGGAATCATACCTTGAGAAAAGCAGCAACCACAAGGTCAACTTTTTAAAGTCTTCCATGAGATGATATGCGTCACGTCTGATCGAACAGTTAGCGAGCCACCAATAAAGCGAGTTTTTGACCACCTAACCTATTATTCATGCGACGAGACACCAAGAACGAAGACTAAGACATTGGCAGGCAGATGGTACTTTCTTAAAGCATTGTTCCTCTTGAAAAGGATATGAATGGAGATTGCGAATACTACTGTAGGCGCCTACCCGAACATATGAGGTTCAATCATTACTTATGCGCGAAAGTTACCCACCGTAAAGTGCAGAGTTAATCTAGACAATGTGGCAAACGAAGTAGCATCAGGATAATCCTCAAGTGAGCAGCACCACATACCACTGGAAATACAATGAAGAATACCGACTCGTTGATCAAGATCGGCATGTGGAATACCTCGAGGGATGTACGATGAAGACAGAATGTAGGTCGATGGACTAGTCGTTCATGTATGCATGGGAAGACTGTGATGGACGACATTAACCATCATAAATCTTCTGTAAGTTGTAATAAACCATCATTTGATCCGATTATATGCCAGCCCCAAATCAAAGCTGTAGTGAGCGCTGGCTACGTGGTATCCACGTTTCAATTGAATGCACCTTCAGATGAGATATACTCCAGTGACGTGACCGCCTCCGTGGGTAGGCCCGATGTAATGTACCGTATCCTCATCATATACCATCACCGTGATAGCTCGTAGCCTCAGGGCACCGCCATAGCTCCGTTCTCAATCTAATGGAGACAGTGACCTATGATTGGCCAACTAGTATAGCCTCCTCAGTCACATTTGATCTTATCGGACATTCACGGAATGAGATGGGCGCTGATGCTATTACAAGTCTGTTAATGGTAAGTGGGAGAGAATTCTGTACGACTGGTACTATTTAATTCTCACTTCGCGAAGTCTCAGGTGGACCATCTGTATAACAACTCCCATCGCTCCGGGGTCATGAGTGATAATCACAACTGCGTCTGATGGCGAAACATCGTTGTGTGTGGTCTCAGCCATACGAATTGACATTACCTCAGTCTCCGCATTCAAGGCAATTCCCAAAGCAACACGGACAATGATGGTAGTGGAGATGATACCCTGTGCAACATCATGTTACACTTGGAATTCCAATTGAATAAATGGTCTCACCGAAATACAGGGCATGGTATCAAACCAATACTGACCCAAAATGTTCTTTTCCTCAATATCGTAAAGCGACATCGAGCGATACCTTCGATACGTATTACCTTCAATTATTGTCCCTGCTACTAGGTATACGGAGTAAAATATTCCAGATTCTAGCCTGTAAATAAGTGGGTTAGTACAATTTCTTGTAGGTTTTTTGCCCGCTCACGTAGAGGCGATTATGACTTTGTACATATTGCGGAATATTCCAATGCTGCGAGCAATTTGACGGCCGATTGATAAGATTCTGAAGGCTAGGTTGAAACGGGATCGTGTGAGGAAATCCAAGAATGTCGATAAAATCAGCATACCTATCAGTGTTGAAAGGAGAATATTACCCAGTGCAACAACACCCGGAACTACGGCTCCTACGAGGAGAAATGAAGATGATTGGTCATATACAAAAGGGGCCACCATAGCGCAGAGTTGGAAATAAATGAGGATGAGAATAGAGGCAAACAGAAAGGAACACATACTGTGTGCGCTGAGGTTCAGAACAAGGGGTATGATTATAACTCTCCACTGTCTTCCCCAAATAGTGAAGCAACGCCAAGCCTGTCAGCATCATGTTAGAGGAAATGTCAATACGGTAAAGTCTCATGTCTCAACCAACATAGCATCCGTGATCAAACTGAATAAACTTGAGAAATCAATTGTTATGAAGAAAGAAATATTGTTTTGCTAACCTGCATAACAAACTCATCCAGAAGCAGAGTGGCAGGACCAGTGGTAGATTCCACTAAGCTTAACGATAATGATTCGCAGGGCAACGAACACAGAGGTGATAAGGAACATGGATGTGTTTGCAAAGAGATAATATCTGTATCCTGTTCCTCTTTGCTTTAGCAGAATGTATGTGCAAATGCCGAATAACGTAGTGTATATGCCTTTGGCCTTTTCATGAGAATGTCATTCACACATAAAACACATATCTCACCGTATACAAAAGAGGTCCACTGTATCGCAAAGGAGGTAAGCAGCGGAGGGTAATGGAAGTGAAAGCATGAAAGGTACCGTGCTGAGCCGGTTTAGCAGAAGGTTGTGGTCGGTCATAGGGAGGATCAGAATAGATTGAACAGTTTAAGTAACGCTCCCACCGTCCCAATTGCGTCATCAACGGACGGTTGTCCCGGTATCGGGTATTGGTTAACCATCAGATGCTGTCACTGCATTCAGCATGAAACTGGGTTCCAATGGCATCCATTGCGAAGACGGTCTTTCGTTCATCAGAAGTCCGAAAGCTCATCGATTGTTCCTGCCCCAGACCAGATGTGTAACGCGCCCCCTCAATTTGGTTTATCTCATTCCTTATCAGTTATCTGCTTGTCCTTATTTACCTACAGCCTCGTACTTGTAACGCCGGTTACTCGGCTGTACGTAGATCATTCATTGTCTTTGCTTTACTCCCATCACAATCTACAGAGTTGTCGTGCTCTCTCGGCCTTTGGCCTCGCGTTACCGCCCGCTCGCGTATCGAGCCTCTCGTAGGCGTACAAGCCGCCTTACAAGATGTGATATCAGGGTTTTCGACACACTTCGTCGTCGATAGCCGATAGCGTATTACAATAGGACAATGGCGACAGTATCGAGGCCTGAAAAGTGTTCCCGTCAGTGTAGATGAAAACTTGGCAACGAGAATCGTGAAGGGCGAAGTAGGTATTCATTAACAAAGTTCGAAAGAAAAACCATGTCCGAAACTAAAGGTGCTACCGAGTTCGAACCTGTTTCGGAAAGACGCTGGTATTCAAGTTGAGATTCTTGAGTAACGCCCAATGCGCCATAGCAGCTATTCGCTGCTGAATGTGCCGATGGACTGGGAAGACAGCTGCGATCAAGAAGGAACGCGGAC